GGGGCCTGGCCGCGGCGGGCGCGCGACACGCGTGAGGCTCATAACGTCGCGCGCGCTTGCTAGCTCTTATCTGTGACGTTGCTAGCCCCTGGTGCGGGTGAGCTCATCGTGCACCTGTGAGCTAATAGCCGGCCTGTATGTGTGTCCGCCACACAGCTAGCCATAGTGCACGGCTAGCATATCACAAGCGTCGCTGAAAAAATAAATAACGTGGCCGGGTCGGTGGACCCTTCGGGAACAGACCGATAAAGAGATTTTTGTTTTTCAAATAAATATGTTTTATTATTATTATTATTATCATTGTACAAGGGTGGTCATATATATATTTATACAAGTTTTGTTTGTAATATTAATTACATGAAACCGTATGGTAAAGATCCGAAACGACCGTCGCGTCGCCGTTTTTGAAGCTCTGTCGGTTTACACGTTTTTGCTTCTACGCGTGTCACTACGTCGTGAAACGGGGTACGCCGTATCGCGTCATAGCGTAAAGCGACAGGCTCGTCGGTCTCTCCCGTTACATAAGACCGTATCCAGTTGTAGTTAATGACCAGACTCGTCGCGTGGTTGATCGTGATACCTTTGACCTTACAGACCTCAGCGTAAGAACCGTCTTGCTTGCGCACACGGTACGCGTAAAATTTCGGACCTCCCGAAACAAAAGACGTGATATAGCTACCAGCGCCGTACGACTCCAGCTCGTCCTTTAAATCGCCCAAAAGGCTACCGAGCGGCGGCTCGTAGGTGTTATCGACGTGACGGCCACCCGATACGTATATACACGAGTCGGTGTCGTAATATAGAACGCGTCTATCTAATGCCTCGAGGTAGTCGTACAATTTCAGACGCGCCTGAGTCGTGGTATACCCAGCTATAACAACGTTTGTGTATGCTGTGGGTATCAATGAGTCGCTCGTATTACGCGTACTGACATAGAGCATCTCGTCATCTACGGGCAGAATACCTGTAATCTCGACCTCCGGACACGTAAGCAGACTCACGAGCTTTTGACGAGTCGTTACAATTTCCGTCTTTGGCAGATTTTCGCGTTGCCCAAACTTGCCCCAAAAGGAATTCAAACATAACTTTGCGACTGACCGCAGACCGGGATTTGATTTTACATTACCAGGGTCCAGACGAATACCCTCGACCCGATCGTACTCCTCTATATACAACTTCTTGGCCTCGTCGTCGTCGCCACACTCGCGCGGCCAGCCACTAGCTTCCTGCTCAATCTTTAGGCATTACCAGGGTCCAGACGAATACCCTCGACCCGATCGTACTCCTCTATATACAACTTCTTGGCCTCGTCGTCGTCGCCACACTCGCGCGGCCAGCCACTAGCTTCCTGCTTAATCTTTAGAAACGTGTTTATGTAATCGGCAAAGTGACCACCCGTCCGTGTCGCTGGGTCGTACTGGGTAATTTCATACTGCCATATTTCGTGTATCAACGTTATTTCGTACCCCTTACGTACGGCGCGCTTGACCTCGTCCACGACCCAGGTCCCTTCGAATACCCTGTCCGCGGGATTCTCGTGAGGACACGACCCCTGTAGCGTGGCCTCTGCACAGGAACGACACAGTGCAAAGAGCAGTTCACCGTGCATACGCACCGGTAACACGGGATGATACAGATCTCGCGGTGGTAACACCACACACTTAATCAAGCCCTCCACGTTATCGATGTTGTGGCGATCACCCGTTAATTCGCGACAGTCATCGCCCACGTACACCGTAGGGTGCCCTACAGGGAATTTCCCCGTTTTCGAAATGAAAGGAGACAGCGAACACACATCTACGTAGTGTATCCTCTCAGACCCCTCGACTTCATAAAAACTGACAGTATTACCTGTACGGCCACCGAAGAAAGCATCGCGGGGTTCGAGCGGTGCCTGCGATACCAGCGGGTTCTCATTCAGCGATCTGTAT